CAGACTTGGATAGTTATAAAAAGACAAAGAAACCAGACCAGACCAAACCAGATCATATACCAGACCAGCACATTATATTCCAAGTAAAAACATCCTTAGCAATCCTATATGATAAGGAGTGCAACATGAGAACACATGTAGATTTTGAAGTTCGTGGAGCTAAAAACTCAGAAACGATAAGTTTTACTCTCCCCGCCCCAATTAAAAGTTCTCGTCCACTATTCTTCGGTCAACGTAAATTGTTCTTAATCTTTTACTTTATACGATATTCAACTTTTATCAAATTTAATTTTTCTTGATCAAGTATTAATAAAGCTTTTAATGTAGTTTCTTAATATATAAATTTTATTTACTAAAAATAGTCCTATTAATTAATCACATGGATCAGTTAACTTTATGGTCAGTCAAACATCGTAAACCGCGTGGAAAGCTTTAAGTAGGACAAAGGGAATACTCCGTAATACATTTCTAGAGCGCGCCTTACAAAAACTGGAACAGAACTAAGCGTTATAAGGGGTGTTTGGAACTGATTCTGCTTCTGCTTCTTTTTTAAAGCAGAAGCAGAATCAGAATCAGTTTTCAGAAGTTGGTGATCTCCGGCCCCCAGCTTCTAAAAAAACTGATTCTATAAGTAAATTAGAGCTCCAGAATCACTTATGCACTTTCATCCAAACACTACTTCAACTTCTGTCTGTACTCCTTGAAGGAGCAGAAACAGTTTTAAGAATAAGATCCAAACACCCCATAACACATGCATAGCATTTTGCTTACCTAGGTTCACGATTTATGTATGTGATAATTTCAATATAAATAACTATTCTTTCAGAGTCATTCATGAATATATCTGTTAGTAACTAACGAAGATTTATATTTTGTCCTTAAAAGAAAGTAATTATTTGAAAGATTATGTAGATTTTATTTTAGGAAACAAATATTACTTGATTTAGTTTGTTAATGTGTGTGTAATTTCCACAATTTGCAATGGAGTCAAAGATTCATTATTTATTGGTTTGAAAATATGATGGAATAAAACAAAATGACTCACTAAACTGTATGCGCTTATTTGTTATGAAGCAACAATCAGTCCATGCAATTTTGGACGCGATTTTCACTATGGGTCATCCAGAAACAGTCTCTCTGTGCTTTAGTATAAGATAAGAGTACGTACATCCGCACCCCCTACCCCACCATAGGTTGGAGCCTTTGCGGCACTGAAGTAAATGAAAATGAAATGATTGATGAGATGTGCATTGAGAATCATTGTTGATAATTAAAGAGTTTCAAGTTTGAAATTATTTTAGATTGTGACTAATTAATTTCATGAAGAAATCACTCACTTCGAGTAAGAATTTAAACTAGATATGTAGTATCTCCTACTACCTCTGTCCCCTAAGTTTGGGACAAGAGAAGTTGACATGATTATTAATAAAAGTGGATTTATGTGGTTGATATTGAATTGATAAAGTAAGAATAAAGTAAGAATAATTTAGAACCACACAAATTTTACCAAATAAGGTATGAGACAATCTTAGTGGGACGAACCGAAAATGTAAAATGGGACAATCATAGCGGGACAGAGAGTATTATCTATGATCCTCTCTGAATTTAAGGGAATAGGAAAAAGGCGAAAGATAAGCAGTACACTACATATTACGGAATATTGGGAAAATTCTCTAAATAGGAATAAATAGGTTTTGATATTCCAAAATAGAATTGTCATGTTTTTATTCCCTAAATAGGAGTAATTTCTACCAAGTTTGGCATTATCAAGCTTTAAACATGGCAATTTCTGCCAAGTTTTTTCCAAACTTGGCAGAAATTACTCCTATTTAGAGAATAAAAAATATGAAAGTCTTAATTTGAAATTTTAAAACGTTTTTACTCCTATTGAAGCAATTTCTAAAGTATAATTAAGCGGCGTTGTCCTGATTGACTGGTCGAAGCTATGTACGTACTCTAGAAAAAGGAAAACAAGGATGAAATTGTGCCTCATCCGAACTAAAATTTGTAATAAATTTAATAACCGCAATGAGACCATGATCGGGTTAAATAGTAGGTGTGTAAGTGTGTTAAAGGGAAACTTGTATCTTCTAATGTTTATGACTTATTAGGGATAAAGGGGATTATTAGGACCTGAATGAGCTTCATTTGGAAGTCCTATATCCCACCTCGGTTACTTGCATATTTGTTAATAGATGTGATCTTTGTAAGGGTGCATGATTGTTCGGGTTTACAATTTGAGTGACTGGGTCTACAATGACTGGTTGAAATGCTGGCCTATAAAAGGAATTTGATACGTTGTAATTTAATATGGAGTACGTAGTAATAAAAAATCTGCATCGAGTGCACTCCTAATGTCACGAACAGACGAACTGAAGCATTGCACAATTTTAGAGGGAACGCCATTACCAGTTGGGCTAATAGAAGGCTTTGAGGTGTAGCCTAGGCACACCCTGATTATAATGTAAGTCCGCCACTGAGGGTGAATTGAAATCTACTCCACACCTATTTTTCCTATGTCCATTTGTAGCTAGGGTATGGATAACCATTAGGATTTGGATTGGACTTGAGCATCAAATGACGACCCTCCCTGGTGCGGATAAATGGATTCTACAGAAACATAAAGGAGCAACCATGAAGGCTAAGGCAGTCCGGCTAGCTTTTGTGCTACTATTTATTGGACTTGGCGGGCTAGAAATGCATGTAGATTATTTGAAGAAGCAAACAAATCCGAAGAAGAAGTTGTGGTAAAGATTAAACATGTGGTATATAAGATACTCTTTAGTATCTACCACATGAGATGATATACTTTTAACACAAGTGGAATCAAAGCACTTTTTTGGTATGCCACGGGCTAATTTGTATAGAATTATATGTGCTTTGTGCGTGCACCTTGCAACACCATTGGTACCATTAAATGGTACCATTGTATGGGTCGTGACTTAGATTAGATGGCAAAATCCTTTCTCCTTCTCCTCCTCCTCTTGGACACATGTATTTGTTATTTTCTTGGGTGTTAATACGATAGTATAATTTACATTTCATCCAAAAAAGGAAAGCAAGGATGACCGCATATTATATCCTGCACCCTCATCATACATGTACACCCGGTATTTTTTGTAATAAGAATGATCTTTAAGTTTAGTAACACTCTCATCCGCAGGACTTTGATACGTGTGTAGGATAACAAGCCACTTTTTTTGCCGATCGTCTTCTTCGTGAAATCTGCCGCCGCCGTTCGAGTTACAGGGGAAACCATTGCAGGTGATTAGGTTCAGGCGTATTGCAACATGAGGAGCCTTTGCGTTAGTACCGTTGGCCAGAACCTTGAGTGTGAAATTCTTTACCATTTAACAGAGCATTCACCCTTTCTTAAAGGAACTTACAGAGCACTTTTTTCTTGGAACGAGTTAGTTTGTACTTATGTCGTTGCAATACCATATTTTCTGTGGAATTCATCCACTAGACTAGACATTAGACAATGTACAAAAGTGCTTGAGCTTGAATGTTAGACTGATTCTGTTGGATGCTTACCTACAGGATTTTGGTATGACTCTTCAAAGAGAGACTGCAAGGTCATCATCCTATTAGTTTCTGAATTTGTTGTTATTGATCTTAAATGAATTCTATATTAAATTCAAATGAGTATACGCCTGCAATGAAAGAACATATACATTTTTTTTGTACTTTTAGATACTCATTTTGTACGTTACGTATGCTCATTCAGTACTGTTGTTATATATGCTCATTTTAAAATTTTATAACAATGCATATTTCTAAAGTATCATATTACTTTAGATTCACATAGAAGTTGATTATAGATACGAGACCACAAATCATGATACTCAATCACACGATTCTAATACTCAATAACGGAGGTTTGATGCTCACTGAAAATGTCTTGATGCTTAGCGAATAAAACTTACAATTTGTGTACCGATGCTCATCTTGTAAGTTACATATGCTCATTTCTATAAGTCTGATGCTCATTAAAAATTCATTAATGCTCATTTAACAGAAATAGTGATTTCCACCGATCTCAATAGAGAAGGCTTGATGCTCAATGAAAATGTTGTGATTTTCAACTAACAAATTCATTAATGCTCTTTTTGTAAGTTACGTATGCTCATCTCGTACTGATCTTATTCTCATTTTCTAAATGTCATATCAATGCATTTTAAAAGTACTATTTTACATTAGACTCCTAATACTCAACAATGCTCATGAATTAAAACTTCATAATGCTCATTCACCAGAAACCGTGATTTTCATCTCAATAGCGGAAGTTTGATGCTCAATTAAAATGTCGTGATATTCAACCAACAAATCTTACGATTTTCATATCAATGTGCACCTTGTAAGTTATGTATTCTTAGTTGATACTGATGTTATGTTCATTTTTAAAATGTCATATCAAAGCATATTTCAAAAGTATCATATTACATTAGACTCGCATATTGAAATTAATAAGAGTGGAGTATAGATATAATTTAATAAGTATTTATAAAAGAAAATATAAGAAAAAGAATTAGAAGATATGAAATAGAGATCGTGATACTAATTGTTAGCCTCTTAATACTCAATAAAATAGGTCAGATGTTCACTAAAAGTACATTATTGCTCATTTAGCGGAAACCGTGATTTTTCACTTAAATTACAAAATTACGACCGAAAAAATTGAGTTGTACTCCATATTAGTTATTGGGCCGTCTTTCTTAATTGGGCCGGGTGTACATACACCCAGATGTATGAAATAGGCACTCAAGGATGCATGACACCCATATTTGAATCCCCATAACAGAATGTAGTAACTAGTGAGTAGTGACGGATCTTGCTACCAAACGGTGGGTGCTTAATATTACATTATTACTATTAAGAAGTTGTAAAATAATATTATATTCTTTAATCCAACAATTAAAGAAAAGGTTAAATGTAAAAAGTATTACATAAAAAATACAATATATAAATTATTATGTTATTTTCACATTTTATTTTCAAACTTTTGGGTGTTCACATGAATAGTCTTAACAAATACCATCCCCCACTGACCGACTAGAAAATTATTTAAAACAATGTAAATGAAGTTTTAAGCCTTTAATTACGCTTTGATGGAAAGAGAGTGAGCTCGATCCAAGTCATTTTTTGGAGCTAGTTGAATATGGATTTCTCTCGTGTGACACTCTTTTCCTATCAGGTGAGTTACGCTTCTCGTACGTAAAACTCTATGGATTGGTAGCCAGCTCCTCCACCTGAAGAGTTTTGCCCTCATCTTCAATCATCTTATGGGAGCCGCTGGGCGGCTTGATCGGATCGTGCCTGTTAGGTGCTGCGATGGGTGAGGGCGGGGATGAGTTGTGTTTGCGATCCCCGGTAATGCTTGCTGGCAATTTCTTCTCCAGCAGCTGCTTCCGCTGATAATACCAATTGCTTGCTCGGACGACGTCTTCCATCTCATCATGGTGGTCTTCTCCGACTGCTGCGGCGAGGACCTCTTCTTGATGACCAAAGGTGGCATGCCCATTCATTACTCCAGTTGCGCCGGGGAGGCCAGGCGGTGGCGGCGAGTTTTTAACGTTACTTGACCACACCACATGATTGTTGAAGAAAAAGCTACTCCTGAAAGCATGACTATTGTCAAGGATGGTGAGGAGGATGAAGGAAATGAGAAAATGGTTAATAAACAAAGAGGCCGGCATAGGAATTGGTCGATCAAATAGCTACCTGATCTGAATAAATAAATACTCGGTATATAGTAGTACTACGAACGTACCACTTAATTTGAGTCTGTGATATGTATGAATGTTGTGAAATGTGAACTTGTGGGGGTTATATAGACACTTTTTTTGTTTTTTTGAAAAAGGAAAAATTGATAGTAATAATCTTGTAATATTCCCAACATGAATAATAATCCCAACGTGATCCCAACTAGCAATTATTTCGAAATAATCCCAACGTGACTTTCCGCCAATAATGGTCCCTATAAATAAATTTTTGTAGTTTCTAAAGTGAGTGAGAAGAGATATAACAAGTAATCTCTATAAATAATCTCAACTCTTAATTTTTATCCTTAATTTCTATTTAAAATTCACTTGTTATAAGAGGTAATATCTGGTCATGGACTATTATTAGCGGACGGTCCATATAGTTGGAATTATACAAAAACAATCAATAGTTGGGATTATTGTGGACCGACACTAGTTGAGATTATTATTTTCAATTTTTCCTTTGAAAAATGGTTATACAGACACTTTTAGTCATTTGGTGATCCTATTTTTCAGTTTATCAGGTTCATAAGCTAATTCTTTAATAAAAAATGTAACTTTTGATTTCACACGCTAAATTGTGTAATAATAAGAAACAGTAAAGTTGAAATTACTTTTTTATTTTATTTTATTGACTATTACTATAGAGGACCATTTTAACTATTTTTCATATATCTTTGCTTTATTTTTAATAAAATATATTTTAAATATAATTTAAATGCAAGTATAATTTTTTTATAAACCAAAATAATCGGTCAATCCAGCCACTTCAGCCAGAACTTCATAAATTTCACCAGAATCAGCCGATTCAGACATTTTGGATGTATCAAATAGGCTCTTTCTATTTGGCCTTTAATTTTTCTCTCCCCTAGCTTCCTATTTAGCTTAGTTTTAACACTTTTCTTTTTTCAATTTTCTGTTTAATAAACAAATTTGATCATTAACACTCCATTATTTAAGTACCGATGAGAAAAGGCATTAGAATTGAATTTTTAATTTGATCAAATTGTCTTAGCACTCTAGAATGTATAATATGGTCAACGTAAATAGGTCGCGTAAAAATTAAAATCATAGCAACTAACAACAAATAAATACGGAGTAAAAGTGAGAGGAAACTTCATGTCAGGTCGGCCTGGTCGGGAAAGCAATTTGGACGAGCACATTTGAGGGCTTTCCCGGTGGATTTTATTGATGAAATATTTTAAGCATGTTCTTTATCAAGTCTAGTTTACTCATATCAAATTTTTGCTATTTTATAATATAGGAGTAAATTTCTGCCAAGTTTGGCATATTACTAGGCTTTAAACATGACATTTTTTTCAAACTTGACGGAATTACTCCTATTTAGGGAATAAAACATGAAAGTCCGATTTTGAAATTTCAAAACGTTTTTACTCCTATTTAGGAAAATTTCTAAAATTCTATTGCATATAAAATAACAAAAATATTCCATATAAAATAGAATTTGCATATGGGGTAGATTTTTTGAATAAAATTTTAAAATGCAGTAGATTTTTTAGTCATGTACTTTTTTCATGATAAAATCAAAGTTGAACGACTGAAAATTTCAATTTCACAATACTTTTTCAAGATATGCGCAAAATGTCACGCTCACAAAAAATGACCAATATGTCACTCGGGCTTTTTTTAAAGCAATTTGTCTCAGAAGATTTTTCTTTTACCAATTTGGTATTACGTTTTTTTTATCAATCTGATGATTTGGCCGAATCCGTAGGTGGGAGCCTTTGCGGCACTGGGGTAAATGGTGATTGATTGATCATGATTTGGCCGAAAGAATTCTAATCACTCAAATATTACCAAATATCTTATGAGACAAAACCCAACAATCAATGCACAACAAGTAAGAACTAAGTAATATTTTAACCCGTAAGAGCCTTTTAAAACTAAAATTAGTATATAACACACAAGAATCAATACATATATTTATATATTGTGCGTTAAATACAAGTTCTTGTGAGGTAGAAAAAGATGTTTGTATTTATTTATTGTATACATATATGTTGGTCTGTAATGCACATGAAGCAGTATTTATCTCACATTTTGTGTATAACATAAAAAACGAAAATACGTATTGAAAAATATAACTAAGATATGGTGAATAATAATTAAGAAGAGAGATATTGCATAAGAATATTCCTTCTAAAAATTAAATAAAAAGAATGGTATTACCCACTAACGTTATTTCCTTTCCTTTGTAACTTGCAAAAATTTCTATGTAGGAACAAGTCAACCCACGTTAGACATATCATACCATTTAATGTTTCCAACTTTCCATTACTAAACCACCAAAACGTATTAATTAAAGGATCGGTTACTTAAATTGCCAACAAGTATAAGACATAACTACCCTCTATACCCTTTACTTGATCGCATCTGGACATGTATTTTGGATGGTTGAGATTTGTTCTCACTTCTTACGTTAAGAGATGTTCTCATTTGGACCTATATATATATATATATATATATATATATATATATATATATATATATATATATATATATACAGTGGCGGAACCAGAACGAAAACAAAGGGGTGGCTAAAAGTATTATAAAATTCAAAAATATAAATTGTTACGGAGTATTAAAGTTTACGTAATATAAAATTTGTGAGAAGAGTACATTACATTACAATTAAATGTTATGAGAAGAAGTCAATTGAGACAATTGTGTGCGGCTTGTCATATGTTGCAAACGTTGCAAAATACTCCATTTTCAATTTTGGAAAAAATTTCCATAAGTAAAATTGAGACCATTGGATGCGGCATTGTAAAATAGACAGTATCACATAAGTAACCTAACGAGTTAACAAAATTTTCAACTTTAAATTCTTAAAAAGTTAAAAGGAATTAATCAATCAAAATTTAGCAAATAAAACGATGAAGGTAATTAATCAAAAAATTTATCACAAACAATTTCAACTTTATACCAATTCATTCAAATAATTAATCAGTCAAACTTTAAAGCAATTAAACTAATTAATACGGAGTAATAAACTTGCAAAAGAATTTAAAGTTTAAACTAATTAATCAATTCCATTCTAAAGAAAATAAATAATTAAAGTGATTGAAAAAAGATTCTAATTTTAACAGTTACGAAGTACTCCGTAACTGCCCTACTGACTTGAGTTCGGATAAGATAAGGGCGTGCGAGTCTGCAAAACTGCTACTAGAATCCAGACCATCAGACGCGAGCGTCCAGCAGGCGTGGGAGCCACCGAGCCAGGGAGAAACGACGACGACGAATGGCGGGCGTTTTGGACTCTGGAAAGAGAACGGCGAACGGTAAGCCCGCAAATGACGGGAAAGGGAGGGTCAAACGCGTATTTCTAATTTATGGACAAAACGATGTCGTTTCCTATTTTGCTGTGCACTTAATTAAACGACGTCGTTTGGATATTGAAATAATTAAAAGAAACGGGCCGCTCTCTGAACTTCTGCTCTCTCTGGTTCTCTGCAATTGAGACGGAACTTCTCAACGGAGAAGATGAAGCGTATTGGTAGCGCCGGTCCAAACTACCTCATACTACTAGTAAAAAAAATCCGGCGAAGGGGTGGCGCCAGCACCGGCTCGCTCCCCCTGGTTCCGCCCCTGTATATATATATATATATATATATATATATATATATATATATATATATATATATATATATATATCACTACAAAAAACCACGCGTGTAGTCACGGACTTAGTCACGGACAGCAGTTCAATTTTTCCGTGACTAACAGATGTAGTCACGGTCGCTGACCGTGACTAAGTTCGTGACTTAACGGGCGTGACTAAATTGAAGTCACGTCCAACAAACCGTGATTAAATTTAGTCACGGAATAGTCACGGTCGGCGGCCGTGACTATTATACTCGCCGGAACCCCACTCCGGCGTATTAGTCACGGTCAGAGGCCGTGGCTAATTTTTTTTTTAAAATTAATATTAGTAGTCACGGCTTTGGACCGTGACTAATCTTTCTAATTTTCAAAATTTTTAAAAGACCGCCCGCGGCGGTTATTTAAATTTTTGAAATTAGTCACGGGTGTCGACCGTGACTAATTGGTTTTTTTGGAAAAAAAAATTATGTTTTTTATTTAAAAAAAATAATAATTTCGGATTAATTATAGTCACGGAGAAGGCCGTGACAACTTTTTTTTTTTTTTAAAAAAAATTCCAGTTTTCGTTTTTTTTTTAAAATGTTTTTAAAAATTACTTTTTTAAACACATTTTTAAATTTAAAAATGTTTTTTGAAAAATGAGTTATTGAAAATATTATACTATTTTTTTTTAAAATAAATACATTTTAAGAGTAAAGACATACAACAAATTCAATAAATATTGTGACAAACTTTTAAATGTTTTGAAATACAACAAATAATAAATGTATGATGATTACATGTCCCGTGGGACTCCATTATGATAAAAATTGGGATTTTCTTCTTCTTCTTCATCATCATCATCATCATCAACAAGAAACTCATCTGGGTTCACGGGGGGGTCTTCGGGGTCAGGTCGGGTTCCTCCTCGGGGTGCTCCTCGGGGTCCTCCTCGGGGTGCTCCTCGGGATCCATGACCCGGGGTGCCACTACCTCCTCCGGATGACCTCGCAAAGTCAAAGGACATAGATCCGAAATTCGGGGAGATCATCGGCATGCCACCGTATCCGGAGGTGGGGAAAAATCCCATACCGCCCATGTGCTGAACTTGAGGAGTTTGCTCAGGGTGGAATACGTACGGGGGAGGAAAAGGCTGTGGCGGAGGCTGGAATCCGGCACGCATGAACCGTTCCATCTCCTCCAACCGGGCTTTTGTGGCCTCATCTGCTTTCCGCTGCTCCTCCCATCGCCGTTCGTGCTCCTCCAGTTCACGCTGCAGTGTAGCAATACGAGGATCTTCTCCCCGCCTTGACCGAGAAGAGGAAGCACCGGTGCTTCGATCATACAAAATCCATTGCCCCTCGGACCCCAAGCACGGAACCCGGCCCTTGTAAACCCCGGCCGCCTCAATGGCCGCTTATCTA